AGTTCGAGGAGTGGCAGAGCCAGATGAGACTTGAACGCACGCAGGGCTCCCCGAATGTGAGTTACATTTGAGCATTTTCCCAATCTTTCACTCTTTTCCTACTTTTCCTTTTGCACTCTTCTTCTGTAAATTGTTTCCTTTCTAAAGGAAGGCTGGTGAAAAGTACTCGGACCATTTTGTTGAAGGTGACGATGGAGAACTGAAAATTGAACTTTTCCCACAATCTAGTGAGTATACCTCATAGTTTCGTTCTCATCCTTCGCCACTTTAATCGAAATATGCTGTATACATTTCATGGATAAGATCTAACGGTAGTCTCGAAAAGCTGCTGATAAACGAAAAAGAAATGGGTAGATATGTGTCGTTAACGTGGATTGTTGTACCAATAGTTGAGAGAGTATTGAAAACGACGCTATTTCAGTTCACGACCAGATGCTTATCTCAGACAGACGGAACTGGACAGGACCCGATTGGATGGCATTTCCGAGATGGACCCAATGATCCGGGCCGGAATCGGATTTGAGGCGATGATGAGGCGCGGAGAGAAGAGGCCGAAACTGCAAACCAGTGCAGCTGAGGCGAGCAGATATAAGAAAGATTTATGCGAGTGAACTGAAATGGCATTAAAAGGGTATTTGAAAACTCAAACTTTATTAGTTGAATCATAGTAGGTAGGATAAAAAAGCCTTATTCATAAATTATAGAATGATTTTAATTTCATCTGCCCTCTCCGCTCTTCTCCTCTCCTCTCCTCTCCACTCCTCTCCTTTTCTCTTATCTTCTCTTTTATTCTCTTCCCTTCTCTTTTCTTCTCTTCTATTCTTTTCTCTTCTGTTCATAAATCTTCTTTTCTTTTTTCTTCTGATGTCTTATCTTCTCTTTTTTCTCTTCTGATGTCTTCTCTTCTCTTCTGATGTCTTCTTTTCTCTTCACTTCTGTTCTCTTTTATTATCTTCTGTTCTATTCTGTTCTGATTTCTTTATCTTTTTTCTGATGTCTTCCCTTCTCTTATCTTCTCTTTCCTTCTGTTACGATTTCTTTTTTACCTTTTCTTCTAATGTCTTCCCTTCTCTTCTCTTTTCTCTTCTTTTCTCTTCTGATGTCTTTTCTTCTTTTCTCTTTTACTTTCTTCTGTTCTGATATCTTCTTTTCTCTTTTCTTCTGATGTCTTCTCTTATCTTTTCTTATCTTCTCATTACTTCTCTTCTGTTCTAAAATCTTCTTTTATCTTTTCTTCTGATCTCTTCTTTTTTTTCCTTTTTTTTCTTCTCTTCTCTTCTGTTCTTATATCTTATTTTCTCTTTCTTCTGATGTCTTCTCTTTTCTTATTTTCTATTCTCTTCTGATGTCTTCTCTTCTCTTCTGTTCTCTTATCTATTCTTCTCTTCTTTTCTGATTTCTTATTTTCTCTTTTCTTCTGATGTCTTCTCTTCTCTTCTCTTCTGTTTTAAAATCTTCTTTTCTTTTTTCTTTTGATGTTTTCTCTTCTCTTTTTTTCTCTTCTGATGTCTTATCTTCTGTTCTGATTTCTTCTTTTCTCTTTTCTTCTGATGTATTCTCTTCTCTTCTCTTCTCTTCTGATGTTTTTTATTCTTTTCTCTTTTATTATATTCTATTGTTTTCTCTTCTGTTTTGATATCTTCTTTTCCCTTTTCTTCTGATGTCTTCTCTTTTATTCTGTTCTCTTCACTTCTCTTCTGTTCTAAAATCTTCTTTTCTCTTTTCTTTCTTTTCTTCTCTTCTCTTCTCTTCTGTTCTTATATATTATTTTCTCTTTTCTTCTGATGTCTTCTCTTTTCTTCTCTTCTGATGTCTTCTCTTCTCTTCTCTTCTGTTATCTTATCTATTCTTTTCTTCTCTTTTGATTTCTTCTTTTCTCTTTTCTTCTGATGTCTTCTCTTCTCTTCTCTTCTCTTCTATTCTCTTATGATTTATTCTTTTCTCTTTTCTTCTGATGTCTTCTCTTCTCTTTTTTTCTTATTTTATTTTATCTTTTCTCTTCTCTTCTATTTTCTCTTCTCTTTTTTTCTTTTCTCTATTCTTCTCTTGTCTTTTCTTCTCTTCTTTCCCATTCCTCTTCTCCTTTTTATTCTCTCGGTGTTCAGTTTCACGCCTACGGGGACCACTCTCAGATCAACTACCTCCGTATGCAGCACCGCACCGCTAGTCAAGAGTTGGAGTTCCTCTGCGACGGCACCGTCGTCTACGGCAGTCCGACGCCGGACGTTGACAAGATCGACTACAGCCGAGCCACGGCATTGTTGGCGCACAACTACCGCGTGATTGACTTGGCCGCCGGCGAA